AACTCGAGGGTGGGCTCAAGAGACAAAAAGGTAGACAATGCATTTTCCAGTCTGTTCCCCGTTCCACCTGAGACAAGTTTGTCACTCCTGTGAAATCTTCACTTGGACATTTTGTCCTTTCTTGGTGATTCGAACGCTTAGCAAGCATCCTCATTAGCAAACCCTAAGCCTCCCTTTCACAAGTGTCAGACTGTGCAGAAGGCCACTTTACCAGGCAACAACACCTGGTGGAGAGAAAATTCCTGTAAGCAGATTCCTTGTGACTGAAGCAGCAACCTTGGCCAGTCACTTCAGAGTCCTGTTACATCCATAATGATACTGTCTCCACCTTTCCCTTCCCCCCAGCATGAAAGATGAGTGGTTGTATGGAACGAGTCCCCGAGCTGTGATGGGAATCCGTCTCGCTTGGCTGCAAAAAATATATATATCCTGGTATGGCTGTGATGAATCCTTTCATTATTCATCTGCAATTGCCCTGCTACTGCTGCAGTTCCATTCTCTCTCTCCTTCTTTTATAAATAAAAACGGAAACAGATTGATGACAAATATTGACAGATATTACTTTTAAAGAGCCACACCTGAATGTGGGCTATCGGGGAGAAGCAGTGGCAGAGCAGCATAAGAGGGATGGAAAGACCAGGAAAGGCTAAATAAGAGATGGGAAAAGATAAAGATGCTCACTCCAGTTGGGCTAGATGAGCAGTGATTGGAGCAAGGTATCTTTCTGGTGATGTGAACCTCAATTTGCTCTGAAAAATGAGCTCCAGATTAACAGAGCTATGCCTCCAAAATATTTGAAGTAACTCACAGTAGTCAGCTGTGCTGTCAAAGATACCCTAGAGCAAAGTTCACAGAGACTGAGTTTGGATTTACAGGAAGCTGAACATGAGCCAGCAGTGTGCCCAGGTGGCCAAGAAGGCCAATGGCATCCTGGCCTGCATCAGGAACAGTGTGGCCAGCAGGAGCAGGGAAGTGATCCTTCCCCTGTACTCAGCGCTGGTGAGGCCACACCTGGAGTGCTGTGTCCAGTTCTGGGTCCCTCAGTTCAGGAAGGACATTGAGGTGCTGGAGCAGGTCCAGAGAAGAGCAACAAGGCTGGTGAAGGGACTTGAGCACAAGTCCTATGAGGAGAGGCTGAGGGAGCTGGGGTTGTTTAGTCTGGAGAAGAGGAGGCTCAGGGGTGACCTCATCACTCTCTACAACTACCTGAGAGGAGGTTGTAGCCAAGTGGGGGTTGGTCTTTTCTCCCAGACAACCAGCAGTCAAACAAAAGGGCATGGACTTAAGCTCTGCCAGGGGAGTTTTAGGTTAGATTTCAGGAAGAAATTCTTTACAGAGAGAGTGATCAGGCATTGGAATGAGCTGCCCAGGGAAGTGGTGGATTCTCTGTCCCTGGAGGTTTTTAAGAGGAGACTGGATGTGGCACTTAGTGCCATGGTCTAGTAACCATGGTGGTGTTGGATCAAGGGTTGAACTTGATGATACCAGATGTATCCAACCCGGCTGATTCTATGAAAATATTCACAGGACAAAATGGCAGCACACAGAGGGTCAGTTACATGAATAAACGGTACCTGATAATGCCATTCAACACGCTCTATTCTGGGTGACCAGTGAACAGCAATGCTCTAGCTTGTGCCACTGCCAAAGCTACTTGTATTTTAGGAATGTGGCTCAGATGAACAAAAAACAACCGTGACCAGTCAGGCCACAGGCTCACACAGTGAATGAGTGCATCCAACACAGGCAAACCTGGCCTCATGACACCCTTCCCTGTCTATTCCCTCTGCATGAAGAAAAAAAAGCATTTTACTCCAGTAGCACTCTGAGAAGCTGAACTGTTTATTCCTATCTAACATTTCATCCCCTTACTGAAGAAAGAACAGGAGCGGGAGAGGAGTGGCAGAGGTGGTACCCAGCTCTTAGAGAAAGAAAAATCAACTCACTTTGGGTTTACTTCTCATCTTAAAGTAACCTGTTGCAGTCATTCTGAGTAGATGGGCTGCAGGAGACAGAGCTCAAAGTGCTGCCCTCTCATAACCAAACTATGCCTGTTCCTTGTAGATTCTGGCACATTTTCTCTCATCACACAAACAGGTGAAAGACCTGAGTTGCAAAATGGCCAAGTGAGACTGCTTGTTGTGCCACATACTGCTGCAGCATTGCAGAGAGGGGCAAGGAGCTGTAGCCATTGCACCTGCCTTAGTTTTAGCCCAGATATTGCATGTTAGACCTAGGTGCTGTGTAGACCCCAAAGATTGGAATAAGTCTCCTCTCCCCCATGGGAGGACAGATGCCATTCTCCTGTCCTACACTCCTACTGATGGCCTTCAAATCAGCCAGGGGTCCAGAGCTCACTTTTTTTTTTCATTTTTTGCTCTGCTTTTAATCTCTTCCTCATCCTCCACAGACAGCTTGAGTTATGTTATCACTTCTCTATGTATTTCTACCCCTACAGTGATCTCCAGCAACCGTAGTCTCCTCTTCCAGGTCCCATGCTTCCTAACTCAAGCGCCATCTATCTACCTGAAGATACCATGTCTGCTAAAATCACCTTCTACCAAACCATTTCCAAGGCTATCTCACCTTCCTGACGTCGTTTACACCTCCTATCTAGCTCGTTATTTCCATAATGTGTTTGGCATCACATTTGAGAACAGAGATGTGCATGGATTCATTGCTGCTTGCTCCTTGCCAGCCTCCCACTTAACTAAACCCATTTTCATCCTTCCCTCAGAATTGCTCCTGCTCTTCTGGTGCCAAGCCACTCTCCCACTCTCCTGTCCTCCTCAGAGCACACTGCTCCTTGGACTCCTTTCAACAGCAGCTAATTCAAGACATTACAGCACAGAAGCTTGTGCCAACATCCAGTGCATAAACAAAGACCAGATACATGAGAGGAGAGAACACACTGTCAGCATTTAATAACAAACACTAATTGTGAATAGGGGGATGGCCTTCTCCGTGCCTGTTCTCTCAGCAGCCAAGAGGCACCCGCGCCAGGGAACGTGGCCATTCACAAACTAGGATCCATTAATTGCTGAATGGCTCAGTATCCGACTGATTGACAACAGCCTGCTCAGTGTCTGACTGATCCACTGAATGGACAGGCAGCCTCTTGGAATTTTATTTGCACCTCATTAGTGTAGGGACACGGAAATATCAGGTATTTAGTGATGCAATTTCAAAAGCCTTTCAGGCCTGCTACAGCTTTACCCTATAATCCTCACAAAGTTTTAATTTCTTTCTGTGCCTCTAGTTTTCCTGAGAAAATTGCCTTATATCTGATCCCAGAAACGTGCAGAGAAGGCTGTTTGTGGGCCTCAAGATATTAGTACTTTTATTGAAAGCTGTTGCAAAAGACAGATGGGGTTTTAAATAACGTTCTCATTCACCAGAAAGGCTGTTTCTCATCACATGAAAACGATGTAGAGATACTAAGTAATTTCCACCATTTTGCCCCATCATTCATTGTGCCTCATAAACAAATCAGACCCTTAAAGATAAGAGATCCACTGAAAGACACTTTGGGTTCTCTAGAACTGGCAAGTCCCTTCCAGCCATAATCCCTTTTTAGGAAGCATATATGGTTATGTCACAGGAAATGTCCCTTCTCATCTCAGCTAAAGATGATGTCAAAACCCCTAAAGAGCACCTGCGAGAAGAGAAGCACACAGTTCTTGGTGAGGCAGCTCGTCAAACTCACAAGCCCCTCAAAGCATCTCTTGCAGCCTTGGACTATGTGGAGTTCCTATGAACTGCTGAATCCCTGGAGACCATGGGGTGGTGGGCACAGATCTGTAAGCAACTGAGCCAAAGTTAAAACCTTAGTGCTGCCAGCTGGGTGAGTCTCCCTTATTCAAAGCATTATTCCCTGGACTTTCTCCCAGCCCACACAACCCCCCAGCCCCAGTTCTGCCACTGTGCCTTGGGCTGCCTCTAGGACTCCTCACACACATCAGTGGAGCCAAATTAATGCATTAAACCAGCAGAAATCAAGTAATTTTTTGCAGTTAGGGTGGTTGATGTGACTCAGAGGAGTCAAAGGAGTGAAAGGTAAGCAGCAGGAGCTTACAGCCAGGCATGAAGAGACTGAACAAGAGATGGAAGGACAAGGCTTCTCCTTTTAGTAGGCAGGAACCGTTTACCTCACCACATGGCCTTGCACCCCCTATTTTCAACAAACACTCTTAAATTTCAGTCAACTGCAAAGACTTTTTAGAGTGCTTTAGGATATATTTGGTTGAAAAAGTAGTGCAGAAATGGAAAGTCAACACCCTTCCAAATTTCTTCGTGCTATAGGGTTTCAGCTCCCAGGGCACTCAAGGTGATGCTGGAAACCCTTTAGAGTGCATTGCAACTACTCCACTATCCTGATCTATCCAGCTGCACATGCAGTCCATCATATATGCTGCTCTAATCCTCACTGTACGTCTCCATTGATTTTAAGCTGCACTGCCCTTCTGGATTCAGAGTCTCAGTCTCCCCAGTACCCACCCCTTCTCAGGCTCTGGGGCCAGTAGTTGCACAGTTACTTGTATATTTACTTAGGACAACCTCACCAGAGTTTCAGATGTTGTCTTGCCTTGGAAACTTTATTAGCTTTGATGTTGCTCTTCAAGCCCTCAAACGCATTAACCCACACAACATTTTAACCCTCACAACACCAAGCAGATTTGAACTCTATTGAAAGACAGAACGATCTGGAGTTTACTGACCTTCAAATCCCATTGCAAAGTCCACCTTTCACTCAAACTTATGTTTAATAAGATGACATGAAGGGCCTAAGTAATGGGGTATAGCATTCATATGGATATAAACTACCCAAGCAAAGGCCTAGTCCAGCCTGGCTCTTTTTCCTCCTTTATCTTGCCCCTTGTGTCTCACAGCTTTGCCCCTTTGCCCTTGTTCTGACTCTTTCCTGATCCTCCCACCAGGTGACAATTTGAATTTTAAAGCCATTTACACTCCAAAAGGTGCATAATCAGATTTTTATCCTGTACTTTTCTGATGTGACTTTTTTATTATGACATCAAGTACTGACCCATAATAAGGATGTAAATGCCCACTTTAATGTCTATTAGCAGTATCTGCGGATGCATATAAAATTATAGTATCATCACGTAAGTACATATTAACCTCTTGAGCTCCATGACAAAGTCTCCAGGGAACACTGTATTCCAATTTTCAATTACCAGCAGTAATTCAGTGACAAGCAGTAGAAGTTGTACTCATCCATATCCTAAACACTCGAGGTACTTGCAGAATGACAGAGTAGTCACATTCTGAATACACCAGTTCTGGTGCTTCCAGTTGCTAGCTATCTGTGACAAGCATCTGGGTTCTTCCCGGGAACAAATACATAGTTACATTTAAGTATACATACAGGTGGGATGTAGCTTACCTGAAAAAAATTTATGGTTTTCAGCAAAGTTGTTTCTGAGTCACAGGGTAGTGCACAATCATCACTTTATCCACAGCGATTAGCAGAGAGAAGATAAGGTGTACAGCAACATACCATGTGCCATCTTTTATGCTTCTGTTGAGCAAACAATGCACTTTGCTCAGAAAATGCCCATTTAGCACAGGTGTGAGGTGCAATATGTGAGCAAGGAATGCTGTGGTCCACAGTACTTTATTGCAAGATTAAGAAAACAACAATTACAGCTACCTGTCCAATCCCAAGATGGTATTAATGGAAATCCAAACATTCTGATTTTCATCTTTCAGGATAATGATATCTGTTTACATCAGAAAATGGGTATTTACCTGAAAACAGAGCCTGCCAACCCACATCTGAAAAATGACCACTATAAAAAACTTGGACAGGGAGGCTGTGTTTTTTTAAAAAAAGATGCACTAGTTTCTCCAGAAGATCTAGACCTGACAGTCCATGGAGAACAGAACAAAACACAGGATATTAAAGACAAAAGTTACTATTTTTCCTTTGTATGTTTCTCCTTTCCAGTACAGCTCAGTCAGATGATTGATCTTGGTTCCAAAGAGGGTCTCTGTCCTGAGGGTGTTATTCCCAAAATATATACTAAGATTTCTGATATTTTAAAACATTGCTGAATTGGGCATTAACAGGCAGCATATCATTTGTTAAATGGTTTTCTTCACTGGACAGTTATTGCTTTGGAGTTTAGAGAAAAGAATCAAGAGGACAACACTTGAATATCACTGCAAGACATGAATTAATATTCATGTCATCCCATGATGTTCAGGTAAAAGTATATAAAATGTGACTGCTCAAGAGCAAGTTTTCATCTACCTATTGCTCTTTCTCAAATTGTAGTAGGTAAGTTATTTCATGGCAGATTCTCCATGATTTGGGCTGCTCTTTCAATTCCTTTGAAGTCCATCCAGGAATCATAGCACTTCCAAAGACAATGCATTTTTGAGGAAACTAAAATACCTTTATAAGGAAACCCCAATACAAAAGGAATATATACCAGAAAATCCTAGCTCAAAAATAAATACTATATATACACAGGCGTACATATATCTAGTTACAGATAAAAATACTCAAAAGGGAAGAAATGAACTGTCATCCTAAGTTGTCCCTCAGTACATACACTTTACAATAATGCCAAATCAAATGATCACACAGTTTATTCTTTTGAGAATCTAGCTTCATACAGAGCACAGAACACATCTCTAGAGAGGTGATGGCCAAGAATTGAAGGAGATTAGCAGCAAATGAGTCAGACCCAAAGACAGGAAAGAGAAAGCTGGAAACAGTCGAGTTCTTACAATGAAAGCAACTGACCACCAGCCCTGGAGAGAAGCCTGCCTGCTGCCATTTCTCTAGAAGCTAAGAAGCCAGAGAGAGACTTCAGAAATGAGGACAGTGCTCTCACACCTTGTCAATAATTGTGGCTGGATTTGCAGAAGCTCTGAGCACTCTATAGCTGCTATGGAACTTAGGACAAAATGTGATTTGAACCTACAAAAGGCTACAAAGTAAGCCACTCCAAATTGCCAGTGCCTGGGTATCTCATCTTAGCGCCCCCCTCCCCCCGCCCCAATACAGTGATAACTTCTGTTTCTTGATTCAGTCATTCTGACTTAAACTCCTTATTTATACAATAAGGGTGACAATAACATCCAAATGCCCAGCACATAAATTCATTAACATTCTAAGTTGCTATAGCAGGAGGTACCCTGAAGACGCTAACAAGGAAATTACTACTTCTCTCTTCAGAGTGGAGTCTGGATGCTGTGCAGTAAATAAAGCTTGAAGTCAGTCTAAATGAGGAGGGAAAAAACCAATCAAAGCCAGTAGCTATACACTCAGAGATCTGAACTGTCCTACACTACAGCGGAATTTTGGTGTGAAAGGGGGAGACGGAGAACAGACAGGCCATGATGAGAAAGGAAAATCCTCACTTTTAAAAACTGGACACTCTTACCCCCCAATATAATGTTGAAAATTTAAAGCCATTTCCAGAGGATCTTGATCTTTGTGTTTAAAAACATTCAATCCACTTGGGATCTAATTTTTACAATTTATTCATTGGAACAGTTAATGCAGAGGGATTCCTGTGTTGTTGCCTCCACAGTTGTGCATAGCTACCAATACTTTTTGTGCTTTTGTGAGCCCACAAACATAGGCAAAAGAAAATTCAAAGTCCACTGCTCATTTGATCTTTGAAGTCACTGTTACCATGATAAAAAGAATGAACCCAATCTATCTTAAAAGGATGTCAGTGCTGGCAAAATGAACAGATATCCATTAAACTATCAATTGAAATTGACCTGCTCATTTAAATGAAATCCCCTGTGGGACGGGGCAGATCTGAAGCAGGGACTTAGAAGTGAAAGGCTACTTAAACTCTGGAATTGTTTCAGATTCTGAACAGGGAGCATCTCACTTGTCTAGAGACAACGTCCTGACAAACTGGGAAACAAAATCATTAGAAAACAACTCCAAAGAATGGACATGATAAATTATCTCAAATTCACTCACGTTTGCAATTCAAAAGAAGAAAAGCACAGTAACTCCCTACAGACCTTCAGGTTACAGGTTATACTTAAGGAAACGGTCAAGGAAGCATGCAGATTAATGGACATTCCAATACTGTAAATCTAGTTAGATGTCAGTGAAATCTCTCTTCCCCCACTCTCAACTCAGTTTGCCTTATATCAGATAAAACAATTCTTTCACATATTGATTTATTTCCAGTTTCTATAATCAGAAGAGAGATTCTGCAAGAACCTCATTCAGACAATACACATAATGTTTTAAGACAGAAAAATCTTTCTTATTTACGTGTTACCCCTAAAAGAGAGTCCTAAGGACCCAGAGTCTAATCCTATCAAACAGTTAAATTTTATGACGCCATTTTAGGACATGAACAAAGCAGTTCTTTACAGAATTTGTGCAGACCTGTTTGTGAATTATCTCTAGGTATGCCCTCTGTGACAGGAGGAGGAAGCTAAAATGCAAGTGGTGGTAGCTTTGCCTGTCTGGTGTTGCCAAAACTTGAGAGAAAGTTCAACGGCTTCAGCAGTGCACCACATCTCTGGTCAGTCCAGACCAGTCTCAGTTCATGGCCCTCTTAGAAATGCCTTCAGCAATGAAGTCTCACATGCACCCATCTAGGCAATCTAGGCTTTAGCTTCAAGTTCATTTTTACGCCCATCTACACAAGACAAGAAATGGTTTATTGCCTTGTATTTCCATTTCCATAGAAGGCTTTCTACCACACAGACAATAATAAATGATGCAATAGATTTTGAAATTTAAAAAAATTCTTACTTTCTAGGATCTTGTGCATTGAAAAGCAGTGATGAGAACCTCAAGTTCAGAGTCAACTGACTGAATATCACCTTCCATGGTAATGTTAGGGTAGTGTTTGGCCATCAAAGGTTATCATGACACTCATATGAATATATGAAGCCCAAATAACAGTATGAGAACACTCTGTAAAGAGTACTGTAAGTGACTCTTATAATTATACTCTGAAACTCTAAAGAATACTTTAAGTGTAGACACCAGAACTGAATGCATATGGATGTGCAATACTGGGGATTTTCATGCAGGAGAAAAATTAAAGGTTAAATGGCAAGTTTTCAGGGTGAAGCTTATGAAAAATTACTTATATGGGTTAGTGGATTACATAGGATTTTCTGGGTGGGTATAGGTAGTTATACATGTCAAAAAAGCCTAATTGTAAAGAAAGAACAAGACTTTTCAACCTTGCTGGAAAAAAAAGCAGAGTAAGAAACAATGTCAGGATGTTCATATCAGGAAAAAAGTATTCCAAGAGAAGATGCAATTTACTTATAAAGATGGTAATTAATAAGAAAACTGATTACAAACAAAGATGAACTAATTCTTACTTGATGTTTTTAAAGTTGGGACATGTTCTTGTAAAAATATAATTAAATCCAGTTGCAAGATAAATACTATAGCCAAAAGGTTCGCAAAAGTTTTCTCCAGCTTTGAAAAAAGTTTGTACGTCATTTTGAGACTGGACACTGGGCTAAGAGAACACAAAAAAACCCATCACTATACAACTACTTCAAATCTTACAATACCCCTAGGTGTCTAAACCCAGTCATTGTGAGAGACAGACTACCAAGGCAGACAGATCTTTGGTCTGACCCAGTGCAGCCTTTTTCATGCTGTTCATCCCATTTCCTTCAGATGTTACAAGGACAAGAGGGCAGCTTTACAAAGTCCTGATCATCCTCATAATACTGGCATCTCTGCTTTAAGAAAATGAATAGGTCATAACACGCAGGACTCAGCAATACTTTTCCTGATTGTCTGCAAGTATATATATTTTGCATCTTTCTCTGACATAACAGGCTGTACCAGCCCATTTTCCCCTTTTACCAATCCTTTAAGTTGGTACAAGAATTCCCTTTCCCTAGTATGTCATCTAGCACATCTTTGTTAACTTACCGGACTCACACCAACAGCCATGTTTGCAGTTGGGAAGGCATTCTACCCACACTGAAGGCGAGAAGGATGTTGGACGTTCCCTCTGTCTCCACAACATAAGTCTGTATTGTCCATCACGTGGCTGAGGGCCAGCCATGCACCTGGCTCCAGGCACTGGTGCCAGTTTAGTCTCCCTGCACTTGCCTATGGCACTGTTCACTTTCTTAAGAATGAGATGCTTTGGTATAATACAGACATTATGCTCTCCGTGCTGAGTTCAATCCTTGTTCTGGGTAAAAGTTAATGGCCTAAGATAACCTTGTCTTATCTTTTGCACAGCAAGAGTAGCCTTATGCTTAATGCCTTAAGAAGCATTGCTGTATTTTCCTGATATTTGATGGCAAAGAGGAAGATATCTCATCATAGAACACAAACTGGAACAGAATACAGAAGACAAAGACATAGTAATGAAGTACCACACAGAGAATCGAGTTTTTCCTCCTTTGATAGTCTCCTAACAGACTATTAAGATACATTTTCTGAACAAATGACTGGTAGCATCCTGCAATTTTGCTTCAGTGAAAAGTACTCAACAACAAACTGTTGAGGAACAAAGTGTTCCTCAAGACAACAAAGCAAAGCCCTTATCCACTTGATATAATTCCTTTTCAATATCCAGGCACACATACTGTTTTTTGTAGCATCTTCCTTCTTCAGTACAGAAGGGGTTACAATAAAAGGTGCACTCAATCGCTCTTCTTCTTGTCTGTCCTCCAATTTCCCTTCTCGTCCTCTGCTCACTAAGCAGGTCCCTGCAACACCCACAGAATAACCACAGGAGTTTCTACAGTTTGAAGGACAGCACTGACCGACTCAATGTCATTTTTCAGGAACGATGCTGGCAAGACACACCTCTGCATACCACAATTATGGAGCTAATCTATCACTCAGTAGCACTAGTCCCAGCCTCTAACAGGTTTCTCTCCAGCTACTGTTTTGTTGCCTTCTTCACTCTTCACTGTACCTTAAAATCACAAATCCATTAGGCCAGAAACTATGTTCTTTTAATTTAAACTTCTCCAGTACCTACCAAATTGGGTATTAATCTTGACTAGAGCTCACTGGAACTACTGGAAACATGCAAAGAACTACTCAGAAATGTGCTCCTCTCAGCTCTTGATTTCTTTTTCACCGAATGTCCATCTTCTCCCTGTACATAAAAGTATGTCATTTTAAGATGGGTCTCTGTCATCTATGAAAAATTGTGGCAATTGTATGAGGTCCTCAGTGACAAGAAGGGGTACATATACATCACCTTTCTAAAAAGACTCAAAGGAATGATAGGCTAGTCAGCCCTACCTCAGTCCCTTGTAGCTTTATGAAGCAAGGTCTGGAAGCCATTTCCAGGCACCCAAAGGACAAAGAGGTGACTAGGAACAGGCTGCCACATTAAAAGAGGGAAAATCAAGCCTGCAAACCTGACTGCCTTCTTTGATGAAATGACAGACTCTGTGGACACACAGAAGGTAGTGAATGCTGTTTACAATGACTTCAGTAAGCCTCTTGATGCAGTCTCTCACAGCAGCCTTACAGCCAAATGCAGGAGCTATGGACTATGGACCAGTGAGAAACTGGCTGAAGTGTCAGGTTAAAAGAAAAATGATCAGTGGTTTGAAATCTGCCTGATGGCCAGTTATGAAAAGCATGCCTCAGAAGGCAATACTGAGATCAATACTGTTCAGTGATCATTAGTGACCTGGTGGAAAAAGACAGAACATACTCTCAACAAGATCAGAAAAAAAGGCATGTTGGGGAAGGGAGCCACTGATATGCTGGAGGGTGGGACTTTGTGATGTTTCTGTCTTTTCATTCCTCCCGTCTGTCAAAGTTCATGTATAAAATAGTTCAGATGGAAGGGACCTAAAACGAATACCTAGTGTAAATGACTGATCACATCAGGACTGACCAAATGTTAAAGTAAGGGCATTGTCCAAATGCCTCTTAAACAAACAGGCTTGGGGCATCAACCATCTCTCCAGGAAGCCTGCTCCAGTGTTTGACCATCCTGACAGTACAGAAGTGTTTCCTAATGTCAAGTCTGAATTACCTCTCACACAGCTCTGAACCATTCCCATGTGTCCTGTCACTAGATACCAGGAAGAAGAATTCAGCATCTCCCTCTCCGCTTCCCCTCCTCAAGAAGTTGTAAAGAGCAGTGAGGTCACCCCTTAGTCTCCTTTTCTCCAAACCAGACAAACCCACATTCCTTTACCACTTCCCACAGGACATGCCTTCCAGCTCCTTCACCAATTTGCTGTTTATTATTTGCTCTGTTTTAAAATTACATCATAAGCCAGTCGAAGGAGGTGATTGTCCTGCTCTGCACTGGTGCAGCCTCACCTTAAGTCCTGTGTTTTGGGCACCACAATATAAGAATATAAAAGCTATTACAGTGTCTAAAGGAGGGCTATGAAGATGATTAGGGGCCTAGACGGGAAGCCATATGAGGAGCAGCTGAGGTCACATGGCTTGTTCAGCCTGGAGGAGACTGAGGGGAGAACTTCATCACCATCTACAACTTCATGAGGGGAAGTGGAGAGGCAGGCACTGATCACTTGTGCTGACCAGTGACAGGACCAAAAGGAACGGCCTGAAGTTGTGTAAGGGGAGGTTTAGGTTAGATATTAGGAAAAGGTCCTTAGCCCAGAGGGTGTTTGGGCACTGGAACAGGCTCCCCAGGAAAGTGGTCAGAGCACCAGGCCTGAAGAGTTCAAGTGTTTGGACAATGCTCTCACTCACAAGGTGTGATTCCTGGGGCTGTCCTGTGGAAGGCCAGGAGTTCATAGAATCATAGAATTATCGAAGTCGGACAAGACCTTTAAGATCAACAAGTCCAACTGTCAACCCTGCACTACCACTGTAACCTCTATACCGTATCACCCCATGCCAGATCCAGATGTCTCTTAAACACCCCCAGGGCTGCTGACTCCACCACCCTTCTGGGCAACTTATTCCAATGCCTGACTACCTTAACAGTGAAAACAAATTTTCTAATACCTAATTAAAATCTCCCCTGTCTCAGGTTAAGGCCACTTCCTCTCATCCTCTCACTGTAGGCATGACAGAAGAGACCGGTCCCCCCCTCACTGTAGCTGTAGAGAGTGAAGAGGTCTCCCCTGAACACTGAGGGGTGCACTCAAACCCCCACATCCAGATAATCAGTAAAGACTATTAAACAGGACTGGCCCCAAAACCAAGTCTTGGGAGGGGTCCCCCAGTGTTCCTGATGAACACTGATAGCAACTGGGTTTAGCTCCATTTGCCACATTTCTCTGAGCCTGGCCATCCAGCCAACTTTTTACCTACTGAAGAACGCACCTATCAGACCTGCGAGCAGATAGTTTTTCTAGGAGGATGCTGTGGGAGATGGTGTCACTTTACTGAAGTTTAGATAGACTGTATTCACAGCCTTTCCCTCATCTACTAAGTGGGTCACTTTATCACAGAAGGACACCAGGTTGGTCAAGCAGGACCTTCGCTTCGTAAACCCACGTCAGCTGTGCTTGATCCCCTGGTTGTCCTGCATGTGCTGTATAATGGCACTCAGGATGATCTCTTCCAAAGCCTTGCCCAGAACCGAGGTTAGGCTGAGAGGCCTGTAGTTCCCTGGATCATCCTTTTTGCAGATGATGCTAATTTCCAGTCAGCTGAAACTTCTCCAGTTAATCAGGACTCCTGGTGGATGATTGAGAGGGGTTTGGCAAGTTCTTTCACCAGTTCCCTCATTATTCTGGGGTGGATCCCATCAGGGCACATAGCCTTGTGAGTGTCTAATTGGCATAGCAGGTCACTAACCATCTCCTCTTGGATTATGGAGGCTTCACTTGGCTCCCCATCCCTAACTTTCAGCTCTGGGGGCTGAGTATCCTGAGGACAACTGGTCTTAATATTAAAGCCTGAGGAAAAGAAGGCATTAAGTACCTCTGTGTTGGGGATGAGCTGGAGAATGAGACGGAGTTTACCCGCTGGAGAGAGGAATTCCTTGGTGACATGGAGGACATTGCTACAGCTAACAAGCCTGCCTGACGGACTTTTACATTTATCACCATGTGGCTAAACCTAATGCTAGGTTGAGGCCACCATTTTAAATTACCTTCTTCTTCTTCAGTTACTGGACTTGCCTTTCGAGGCACAGAGACAGTTCCCTCCTTGGATAGCCTACCATGGGGTAGCTACCAATCACATCACTTCCCAGTTATTTCATGGTTGTGTCCCACCCCCTTGTTATTTCACCCTGTTGCCTACCCTATCACTTTTCGCAGTTTTGCATGCTCCTCCCATGCTCCTCCCTAGTTCTAGCACCTTCCCTAGCCAGATCCTTAAAAACCCTCCACCTTCGTTCTAATAAATCAGATCAGCTTCAGCTGTGATCCTGTTCACTTCGTCTCTTGTCTCATGTTTTGGGTACAGTGGGTTTTTACCCTAAGGGTGAGACCTAACACAACCCTACAGGGCAGAGCGAGGAGAGCTGTATCTCCGCCTCTGGCAGGATTAGCATCAGGCTCTGCTTAGAAGACCTGCAGTCCTGTCACAAGCCTGCTGGTCTCATTCCTTCCCTTGACCAAACCGTGTCACCTCTGCCTTTTCCTCATCCCCTGTCATTTTACTACCCTCTGTATTCATTACGGAGACACTCCTTGATCCTCCTATTAGTTGGGCTTTGGCCCTTCTAATCTTCTCCATACATGACCTCGCAACATCCTTATAGTCCTTCCAAGTTACCTAACCCTCCTTCCAGAGACAACAGATTCTCTCTTCCCCCCCTAAGTTCCAGTTTAAGTTCTCCGTTTAGACAGGCCGGTCTTTTTCCCCAGTGTCTTGTCTTTCTGCATATGAGGACAGCCTGCTCCTGAATATTTAACAATTCATTTTTAAAGCACATTCAGCCTTCCTAGACTCCTTTGCCCTTTAGGACTGACTCCCAAGGGACTGTGTCAATCAGTCTCCTAAACAGGCCAAAGTCTGCCCGCTGGAAGTCCAAGGCAGAAATTCTGCTGGTGCCTCTTATTTCACCCAGTATTGAAAACTCTAACATTTCATGGTCACTATGCCCAAGACAGACACTGACCACCACATCACCCACCAGTTCTTTGCTGGACTTGATGATCCCTGTGGGTCCCTTGCAGCTCAGGATATGCTATGATCCTATGGTTTAAAGGACTTTAAATGCCTTTCAGTAGCACCCAGTATGATCTTCTCCACAATTTTTCCAGGTATTGAGGATAGACTAACAGGTCTGTAGTTTCTTCAGTCTTGCTTCATGCCCTTCCTGTAAACTAGAATAACACTGGCTAGCTTCCAGTCAACAGGGACCTTCCGAGACTCCCAAAACCTTAGGTAGGTGATTGAGAAGGGCTGTGCTCCAACAGCCCCTAGTTTCTGGATGAATTCCATCTGGCTTCAGAGACTTACAAACATTCAACTGGTCCCTTACAATCTCAGTGTACACAAATGCCACTATTCCCACAGTAATGGTCCTCCAGATCAGAAGACTGGGCTGCCTAAGGTCTGTCAGTATTATTAGAGATTGAAGCAAAAACCCCACACTGAATGCCTACACTTTTTCTTCACCCTGATTTGTCAGGTGACCATCTTCAACACATATTGGTCCAATGTTTTCCTTAGACCTTCTCTTGCTGTTAATGCACTTCAAAAAGCCTTTCTTGTCTGACAAAACACTGGCCAGTTTCAACTCTAATTAAGTTCCAGTCTTTCATATCTTTTCCCTGCATATATGAAGCACAGCTCTGTAATCTTCCTGTGAAGCCTGACCTTGCTTCCAGAGATCATAGAATTTCTTTTTCTTCCTGAGTTCCAAGAGGAGTTCCCTGTTATGCTAAACTGGTCGTCTGCACTGCTTGACTTTCATCACAGGGATTGCCTTGCTCTTGTGCTCTTAAAAGATGATTCTTAAAAAATGACCAGCACTCAGGGAACAGCACACTACTAACTAGCTCACTGAGTAGTCTAAAATTAGCTTTCTTGAAATCCAGGGTAGCAACTCCACTGACCGTTTTCCTCACTACATCAAAAATTTAAAAATTACCCACTTCATGATCCCTGTGGCCAAGGCAGCCCCTACCATCATATCTCTCTCAAGTCCTTCTCTAGTCAAATAACAAGTCTAGGTGGGCATCTTTCCTGGTTGGCTCACTGAGTACTTGTGATGCAAAATTATCTTCAACATACTTCAGGAATCTCCCAGGCTTGCTTGTCACAGTAGTATGGTATTCCCAGTTCAGGTCTGGGAAGTTGAAGTCTCCCATAAGGACAAGGAGAGGAGACAGTTGGAGAGAATACAAAACTGGAAAAAGACTGGGGAGTCTTGGTTGACAAGAAGTGAAACATGAGTGAGCTGTGTATCTTTGAAGCAATAATCACATACTGGACCATCTTGGTAGAAGCACAGCTACCAAATCAAGATATGTTATTATTCCTTTCTACTCAAGTAATCCACATCGGAAGCAGTATCCTTCACAACAAGTACTGTGTGAGCAGAGTGCAAGTTCTAAGAAATCTGCCTTAGAGAATAAAAGAGACAAAGCCATGAACCTATTTTATTCATCTAAAAATGCTGAAGATACTAAAATCTGTATCAACTTACTGAAGTCTGAAGATAAATTTTGATAAATACCCAGGATAAATAACCAGATACATGATTCATTTTGCTTGCCTCTGGAGAATCATATTTGGTTCGGAACCAAACTGACCTGTAAATGGATTCTAACATAGAAACAGGAAAGACAGGGCAACTGCAATAATTTGAATCTCCTGACACTTCCAGAAGTTTGCCACAGTGGGAAGTACGGTCTGCCAAGCCAAGATCTGCCACAGTTACTCTTCAGTACTGCCACAGGTACATTCAGCCTTTAAGGACAAGAAATAACTCCTAGGAGCTTAATACATAAGTAAGGGCTTAACCAGATAACAGTGCTACTGACCTCAATAGGAAAATCTGATAAATTATCTTTGCCCCCAGAGAAAAATCACGTGAAGCGTGGCAACCTCTCACCCACTGCAATAAGATGAAGGCTCTGAATTCCCTAACATTCTCTTACAAAAGTTTTAAAACCATCATAACACCACAGAAGAGAAAGAACTACCCTGGACAACACTTACAATGTAGCAAGGTATATCAGAATTGGTTTTACAAAGAGGAATATAAAGGCTAAATATAAAATTTTAGCTAAATGATCAGTAATCTGAGTAAATCTGTTGAACAGACTCAAGCCAAGAGAGGTTATGGAGAGTCCTTCATGAGATCAAACCCACTCAATTTCACAAAAGCTCTTCAAGGAGACCACTCCCTGTCACTGAAACAGCATGCAGTTTAGATTGCAAGGCTTCCAATCCTAAAATTTATCTGCAGGTTGTCAGGAGTATGTGACCACCTGTATTCACTGTATTCATGAGTAATTAGATAGTGCAGCTACTCATCTTCAGATTTACCTTCCCCTCACATGTTCTAGATTAAAGGCCCTCCAGGGCTGAGACTTCTCGTGCTACTCCTTAAGCACCATTGCTCAAAAAAACTACAAATAAGACTAACCAATCACTACTTCAAAACAGGAGCTCTCCTTCCTCCACGGAAGCCTTACAGCTTGTCCTGTAATCCAAAAAGACCATTGTGATCCTCCATTAGGTAAAAATGCACCACCAAACAAACAAAAAAAAAAATTGAAATGGATTTACAGTGACAGATCTGACAGTTTGCTTGGGCTGCAAAATATAAATCCAATTTGAATATCTCCCCAGGAATAAGTAGGTATTAGGGGATCAGACACAGACAGTATGCCTGTAGTATAACCAACTATATTTGTCAATTGTGATTTAGCAAGTCATTGAATTTCTGTTTTGTGCATGTTATGACCATTTAACATATTAATACAGAGTTAAATATAAATCACTGCTTCGTATTCTCACAATCAAATCTGTCCCTCAGCTATTTGATTTATAAGGGAGAGCAGAAGGCTGCAAAACCACTAAAAATATGCAAATTTTGTTGTCTGCTTAAGAGTGCTAGCTGTACTTCCATAATCAAAATTTTACAAGTTTAAATGGTCCTGTCTGAAAGCTCCACATAATGAAGAAAGCAAAGAGTTCTATTCATACAAATACATCCTATTGTTACAGGACTTAAGAAGCTGTGAGGCCACCTGTTTCTTGATACACGCTATGCAGGTATATATTCTGAAAATACAGCCTAAGATAAGCTCCAGAGTTATTTAAGGAAAGAGAGGGAAGAAATCACTGTGCTATATATATTCCGCAACACAGAAGGTAACAGCAGACCAAGTGGAGGTTCTATGAAGAGAATCTCTTTAGTGTTCACTGCAGTGTGATGAGCAATCATCAGCAGGTGGAGACACCCCAGTAGGTATAGCAGACAATACTTGTGAAGGGAGAGCATGAGACAGAAGGAATATGATCAATACCCATAATGCTCTGAACTTGTGGGACACTTTAGGTAGCTTTTTTGTTCAATGGCATGTTAACTTCAACAGCAAGCATCCTTTAGAAACACTAACAGACTTTTTTTTAATTTATACACTGAGATATGGAAGTTTTGTATATCCTCTACCATACTCCAACGATATTCATGGATCCAGGTTCCTTTCCAGGACACCAGCTTACACATTTATGCCAAAGTAGTTCTCCCAAATCCTTATCCAGTAGGAGGTTTAAGAATGAACATGCAATACAAAAGACTATAAAGACATTCAGAACAAGGGAGAAGAAAAAGGTCTAATGGACGATGATGCTGCCAGTGAGCCAATGGCAATTTCTGCGTGGACAAGCACCATATTTGCTTTGTCAAAAACAACATGATTTGAGTCCATTAGCACATGGCCCAAAAACCTTCTGCTAACACAGAATTCAGATTCCATATTTCAGTTTCTTTGCATTCCCTCCTCATTCCACAGCCAAGAAATCCTTCTGGCCTGGAAGAACACAGGGGGAGACTTCTGCCTCCCTGAGTGGCAGTGGGACTTTCACCCCCAAAAATGCCAAATACACAAACAGCAAAATGTCCAACGGGGTGAATAAAGATCTGAAAACCCAAAAGAATCTGTACATGACCCATTACATATGAGCTGGCATCAGGGAAAGAGATGAATGCATAATAAATACAGCAATAGCAAGAATATTTTTAAAAGCCGCTGCGGTCCCAACAGTGATTACCTTTTCCTAAACACAGAGTCACAAACATGACTTAGGTATGTGGGGCACGCAGATCAGTCTGGATGATGGCACGCATCACACATCAATACTGAGGATACCACTCTGCCAAACAACATGTTTGGTGCAGAGACACACCAAAACCAAACATTTCCAAAATTAAGCAAGCTTTTATAGTTGTAGTGCTTCATTTTAGCTGTATCCAAGGCTCTTCTCTGGTGGCATTTTAAAAAAGTTACTGGAAGCAGCAATAGCAGGTTTCTCAGTTGCTGGTGTTTTCCCAGTCCACTCAGAGTTCTGGGATCTCAAGGATGGTGTTGCTGGTAGCTCTGATTCTGCTGCATCCATGTGGACAGATAAAGTTGCTGGAATATAAAATTGCAGGAAAGGGGGAACAGAGGAAGAGAATAGGAAAGGGCAATAAAAAAAAGTTAGAACAAGTGACTTCATGGCAAATGCCTCATATATATAATTTCTTTTACAAAACTGTTATTTATTGAGTTCCTACTAGTTTTCCATCCAAATTCCTTTGAAATACAGGTTCTTGATAGCTTTAACACCTTCACCTTAATGAGTCACACATTCAAAACTCTAGGTTCCCAGTCCACTAACTATTTCCCTTAGTCAGAGTTCCTTTGAAAACCAAGAGCTTCAGCTGTCCCATACTTAAACTCACAATCATTTATCTGAAGGTAAGTTGAACTCTTCGCAAAGAATCAATTAACCCTGTATCTGAGACTCTGAAAGTCTCTGAAGGCATGATAAATTTCAGGTTGCAAAGCTCCTTTAAAGAGGAAAACGTACCCCTCCTTCTCACACAGTAAAGGCAGTACCATGAACCTCCACATACATCCAACATGGTAAATCAGCATATTATGACAAGTAGCTACTTGCCAAGTTTGGTTGAAATCCACTCTCATTTTCTCAATACAACCACTGGTTCAAATGGGACAGATGATAATAGCACAAGAGATTTGCAGACCCATGGCTCAAACCAACAGTCACACAAATTTCCAGAAGGATTGCCAGAAACCTAGAGATATCAGAGTTTACTCCCATTCTCAGTATGCTGAAACACTCAACCCTCAAAACCAGAACAGGGCAGAGTAAAGAAGAGTAATTGCCATAGGAGTCTTTGGGGCAAACAGATTTTTTTTAACAAGTAACTGCTTCAATACAAAACACATCTCTTCTTCATTGTAGTCTCATAACAGATAATAATTGTTTATGTGTTTTAATTACAAGTTGCATCTGCTGCTCTGTAGTGGAGGAAGGATAAACAGGCCTCAAGGATAACGAGTCTCAACTAGAGGACTGATTGCTTTGAAGTTTAAATAAAAAGTTGGTTCAATGCTTGAGGTTCCACACTCAGTAGATCTGGAACCCCAACAATGTTGCTTCTGTGTCCAAAACAGTGAGTCATTCCCATACAGCCACAACAACATAGCTGATAACGTCTAGCCCACCAACTTCTTCCATCTGAAGGTCATACGAAACGTGAAAAAAAACCCTCAAAGTCCTTAAACTAACCAATACTAAACTATGTGACCCTTGCTAGCAGCCTCCCCACTCAGGCTCTCGATCTTTGCTCATAAAAAGAAAAAAGCAAAGGACTGAAACAGGCTTCTTGCTGCTGGGTAAAGACAAAAAATGAATGCTTAGCAAGAAATACAAGAGGGAAAATTCAACAAATTGCTAGTACTCAGACTGGTCTCTGATAAGCAGTTTCACAGGCTGTTAACTGGCACCTTCTAGAAATTAGTTTTTCACAAGCTAAGTGTGAATACATGACAAGGCAGACAAAAATCTATTTATGCAGATTTTTATGCCCAACTCGTTGTAATAGCTGAACAGGATGCCAGTTACCATGTGCACGGCTACATATCTAGTGGATTGAACCACCTAGGCACTAAAACATCAGTGTAAAGATCAACAGTTGTTCACCATTTATGGCACAGCCGTCTGTACTTGTGGCCTATTCTGGCAAAGTGCAGACAGACATGACAGTCTTTATCAGATCCCTTTCAAACCACAGAATAACTACCATGAGAATAACATTTTATGCAGTATTTGTCAGACAAGCCCTACTGTGCAACGGGCGACATTATTCCAAATCTACTGTACTGCAATGGAAAGTAACTAAACCCAAGGACATTATCCATGCCTTCGAAGTCTTAGATCACTGAAAGCTCAAAGGAACTTTCTCACCACAGACTTTGTTCCTCCCTAGGCACTGGCTTTTGGTCTTTAAGCTGGATGAACCTCTGGTCTAATCCAGTACAGTCAGTCTTAACTTCCTCCAGATTTCCTTATTCTACTGCCAAACTACACACTTCTGTTTTTACCCAGTAAAAGCCTTATGCTTTAGGGCTCACACTGTCTGGTTGTGTAGTGTAGAAGACACTAATTTTCAATCTCTCTGAACATTTGCATGTTTGCCCAAATTAATTTTGATAAGTCACTTCCCGAAGTGCAAATTAATTCTGAATTTTCTACCTACTTTTTGTTGCTCTCAACAGATACCTCAGTTATGGTATTTAGGCCTGTTAGCCTCAAAGAGCAGGATTAATACCAGAAGTTTAATGCTATAACAATACAACAGAGACCTAAGGTACTCCTGCTACAGCAATGCATATTTTTTATGTTCATACAGGGGTCTCTGGCAAAAGATGCTTTACAAGAACTCATAAATACATTCATGGAAGTATGTGAGAAGACATGGAATAAACTTATTTTGCTTGGCTCCCAAATAAAACATTCTCTCTAGCTCCCTTCTCTCATTCCTACACTTAGAAAGGAAACAGCATCCACATCTCATATGCCTTTTATTAGCGTCTTCTGATTTCAGCCAAATTCAACTCAAAACTTTGAGTGGATAGTGGGGGATGAGGCGACAGGGGAAGATTTGTAGCTGCATGTTTAAGAAAGAAGCTAAATTCATCACAATGACAGGGGATAGTGTTGGCAGAGATTTGAGCTATTTATTCTTTTAGGAAAATCCTATAAAGAATGACACGAGGAAGCCTCTATCTGCAGTCTTGTTCATCACACTGGTGAGGAGTCCGATAACAGATGTATGCAGTAGCGTGATTTAGTGCCGGGAGCTGGCCCCTGATGTGTATTAATACAGCGGCAAAGCGGAACGAGCTCCTCTTCATCACTCATCTCTATAAAAGAGGTGGAATCCGAGATGGCCCGATGTTCGGCAGAGCAAGCCCATTTGTTCTGCTGACTGATGAAGCCAGCTCAGGCTGTGTCCTTCACCTCCACGGGGCACTCAGGTTGCAAAAAAGGAGATCACTGAAGCAGGACCTGGTCAACAAGTGAGACGAGAGCAGCTGGACTCAGCTAAGTAGATATTTAAAGGTGAAGAAATCCAGCACTCCATGGGCCTGCATTCTGATTCACCTGTGCTTCACCTTTTGCAAAAGAGGTAAACCACCACAAACACAAGCCTCTGTAGTCAGAAAAAGAGGCTGCCATGATTCCACAGCTACAGGGGAACCCCAGTATATGGCACTTATGTGGGGGTGAGTAGATGCATGGCAAGGGAGAAAAATCTTTATCTATCTCTTCAATATCTATCAAGCAAAAGAGTCTCCAGATAATTCTACATTATTGCAGAGTGATACAATGTATTTTTTTAGGCCTCAGTAATTCCATAGTAAGACCCCCCTTTCACAGATATAATATCAGATTTCAGTACTTTCCAAGTTACATATCCAGGTTGTGCTCCAGCTGTAATTGGGAGTCTGCTGTAGAAAGTCATCTAGGACACAGCTTCAGCTATCCAATCATAAAAGTTTCTTTTCAAAAGTCAGTATTGTAGCAAACGCTGCCCCATAGCTGTTCACTTTGCTGGGGATATTTCTAAACAGGGTCTAAGGAAGAGACATTTACCATTTCTGACCATTGCAGCACTTGTCTCTTGATGATCAGTACAAGCAAGTCCAAATTCTAGTAACTACACTCCTTCCTTATTTCGTAATACATAATTGTAATTTTCTCTCTCATCCATAAAACAAAACTTTCCAAACCCCTGTTGCTATTTCCACTGCCAAGTTCTACTCCAGATGCAGTTTCAACTCTTCAAAAAGTGTTCATTGTACAATTCGCCTAGGCAGGTAAGTACAATTTACACAGTATTTTGAAACATGTAGGCATAGAAACAGAAGCTGCCCTTATAGAAGGTGACCATCAATGCAGTACAGAATACAGTGTGAACAGTAAATGAATGGATAGGTAACAGGGGACAGTGAGATATTAGCATTCATACCAAGAAAACCTAGTATTCCAGTGCTAAAATTCTGTGGCTAGATACATGATTTTACTAACCCTGTCAACTACAGAAGTTTGAATATCCCAAAATGGAATATGCAAAAGCCAGGAAAGAATATCCTAAATAAAAAGTTGATAACAGATGACACTTCTGCTGGGCAACAGATTAATAATGTTCTTTTCTTTTTTAATATAGAACCTTTTAGACAGTTTGTAATTCAGATCTGTGACCTGGAGAGAAAGCACAACTTTCTTCCCTACTTCTTTATTTTACTGTCTAACCACTAGCCCAAGGAAGAAAGACGAACTTCATTCCTTCTATTTATCATCAGTCCCTTTGGCCTTCCCCCTGTTTTCACATCTCCATTTTTCCAATCAGCTTACCCACTACCTTGTTACTGGATTACAAGAATAATTTTTTAATGCATTAGTTGGAAGAACATGTGTTGCTTGATAGTGACATGACAGGGTAAGGTGAGAGGCCAGAAAGTAGTATCCTAAACTCCTCTGTGTTCCGCAGATTAAAACTTTCAGATTTTGATGAGTAATCAATCACTTTCGAGAAATACGCCCCATGAAAATAGACAAGCATTTTAATGACTACATCCCCAAAGCACAAAAAAGAAAAAAGTAACTATTTTCATCCAGAAGAGTAAGACAACCTCCAGGGAATAGGTGGTCTCATCCAGTGATGATAGAAAAACTGACAGATTTTTGCTCCCGTGAGTGTCTACAAATACAAAGGGCATCAGAGCCACCAGCTAATGCCAGTCCAACATTGAAGGAACACACTGTGCATACTGACCAGCTTCCTATTACCATGGACTGCATAACTTAGGACTGCAGAAATAACATCTTATGAAGAAACAGATTACTGTCCACTATACAGTGAGGCACTGTAAATTATATTAACTTAGCATAGCTACATCACCAAATATCTGTTTACTAGACAGCTTTTGATGCTATGCAAAAACACACGATATGCTCTCTCACATCTTTCATTAGTTTCAAACCAAGGTAACACTGCTTTTTGCCTATGCCACTTGGCTCAAGAGTGACACAACTTTAAAAATGCTGGCAAGTTACCTGATGTTGGGCTAGACATGGAGGCTGCAGCTGGCTTTCGTTTCCTCTTGATGTCCCTTGAATATGGTGGTCCCAGGTGGACACTTGTTTGCCTGTGGAGAAATTAAAACAAATTAAACTCTGTTCCAGTATCGCGTTTCTGTTAGACTGACCAGTCACCTCCAAATCCCACCTTCCCCTCAGTTTATCTAGGAAGTAGGACAGGGAAAAACTTCTCAAGGAAGTTTTGATCACATTCTTTGTTAATATACCATTATGCTCCCACTTCTTTTAAGAGCTCACACACATAAACTGCTCAGAAGAATAATTTCTTAGCCTTTAAAGGATCTAGTTTTGCATTAACTTTAAAATAACTCCTTGCATACATAAAGATGTAGATCAAGCAGTGATATGACACGTGTCCTACCATTACTTCTACATAAGCGTAACAAATGTCTGCAAGATTGCTTTTTAAAGAAACTGTGTGATATTTGCTCCCTTAGTCAGAAATTATTTTGCAATCTACTTAGTACTGTAGTCATCTTAGAATGTACCTATAATCCCAACAGGCCATGCATATTGTTTCCACCACAGCAGTAAGTTTGTAAAGTTAGGAATGCAAACCTGTCTCATGCATTTTCAAAATCATTATTTCCTTATCCAAGTGCTGTGAAAACAGCTGGCTTATGGTAATACAGCCTTGTGGCATCTCTAAACTGGCTGAAAGGCATAATCTGTTCCATTAATATCAACTGTTAAGTTTGAAGGCTACTGACGGCCATCGCAGTTTAATCACTTGACAATTAACAAGAAACCTGCATTGTTGGGACTGACTTGAATTGAGAACTCCTCCAAGTTCTAGATGTAGGAAGCAGAGAAGTTTAGTTCAGAAACAAGAGTCTTTACAGCAGACCAGAGAACTTTATCAAATACCATCCATAATGAATACAAATGTGTTGGGTTCAAATCCCTGCTTTGTCCAGTATAACAGTTGCTTTGGGAAGTTCCTTGGTCACTCTCAGCCTCAGATCTGATGTGCAAAATGCAGAACCACAGCGCAAATAGAATGCATTAAACACTGGGAGGTGCTTACATGGTACAAAGATTGGAACCACATAGATTTTGATGATTAAGTGATGAAAAGCTTGTTATTTTGATTTTTTTTTTAATCCTGAAAGTTTAACAAACACTTTTATCAAGTACTGAAATCTTTTACAGATAACAAAAGGAAAAGTTAATGGGTTTTTATTTCCATGTCAAAATCAATTAAAAAAAAAACCCAAACCCCATAGAGCATATTCAGAATATCTATATTTTAGATGCTGACTTTATGCAAAACCAAAGTGTGCTGTTATATCTATACAGTGTAGAGAGCAAAAAAAAATTCCCATGCCAGTCCAGTCTATAAATTGTTTGAATGCTGCTGCATCTACCTACTTACCTGCAACAAATGCACAACCACAAAATAAAAGAAATATCTACCCTTCTGTCTTCTCAAGTAAAATTCAAAAGTTCTACAAGAAGTCTACAAGATCTGTCCTCTAAATCTGACATTAAGGAACAAAAATTTTTAAACTGTGCTAAGCTTCACTGACAGCCAATTTTTCAAATTTGGGAACACACATTAATACAAACAAAGAAGTCTCCTGAGGGGATCAAACGTACCCTCAGTAAACTCGCAGATAACACTAAGTTCAGTGGGAGTACTGACCTGCTGGAAGGTAGGAAGGCTCTGCAGAGGGACCTGGATAGACTGGATCGATGGGGCAAGGACAGTGGCCTGAGGTTCAACAAGTGTCAGGTCCTTCACTCTTGCCACAATAATCCCCCACAGCACTACAGGCTGGGGCAGAGTGGCTGGAAAGCTGCACAGCAGAAAAGGACCTGGGCATGCTGGTTGACAGCCACTGAACGTGAGCCAACAGTGTGCCCAGGTGGCCAGGAAGGCCAATGACATCCTGGCTTGGATCAAGAATAGTGTGGAGAGCAAGACTAGGGAAGGAATCGTCTCCCTGTACTTGGTAAGGCTGCATCTCTAGTCTTATGTTCAGTTTTTGGCCCCTCACTACAAGAAAGACATTGAGGTGCTGGAGTGTGTCCAGAGAAGGGCAACAGAGCTGGTGAAGGGACTGGAGGGTAAGTCCTGTGAGGCGCAGCTGAGGGAGCTGGGGTTGTTTAGCCTGGAGAAAAGGAGGCTCAGGGGAGACCTTATTGCTCTCTACAACTACCTGAAAGGACGTTGTAGACAGGTTGGGGTCAGCCTCTTCTCCCAGGAACCTAGTGGCAGGACAAGAGAGTGCAGTTTCAAGCTGTGCATGGGGAAGCTCAGGTTGGATATCAGGAGGAATTTCTTCAAGAAAAGAGTTGTTAAACACTGGAATAGACTGCTTAGGGAGGTGGTGGAGTCACCATCCCTGGAGATGGTTCAAGAAACGTCTGGATGTGACACTTAGTGCCACAGTCTAGATGACAAGGTGGTGATCAAAGGTTAGACTCAATGATCTCAGAAGGTCTCTTCCAACGTAAATGATTCTGTTATTCCGTGAAATGCTTTCAAAAATACCGGCACACCTATATTCAAATCCTGTGTTTGTACACCAAACCAAATAACCTTTAAGTGACTTTGCATATCCTAAAAACTGCTTTCGTACATGACTATAATAACAGCTATATAGTATTTTAGCATAGCTATACCATGAAACATCTAAGCACACATATCCTAAGGAAAAGATTCAGGTTTTTTATTTTACATCAGTGACACAGTATTAGATTACTAACTAGATGAATACATCATTATATACAATAATCCAACTAATTTTAAATAATAATAATAAAAATGTTCTCTTTTTAATTTTACTAATTTACACGAACATTAGCCATCTGATCCTTGGTGGAGAATCACTACAGTCTAGGAGAGAATCATGCTCTATCATTTCCAAGAGACTTTATGCAATTTTTCCCAGTTCACAAATATTACAGTTAGGTTTTGAGTAAGAGCTCTTGGCTCTCAGTTACATGCTCAAACCACATCTATCCTTACCTGATAATTACACAGGGCGTTAAAAAAAAGGAAAAATGAAAACAGAAGAATCTAAAAATCCCTTCTTGTAGTGAAAGTAAAGGGAAATCATGCTCCAGCTGGAGACTGCTAGCAAGGATGTTGTATCTAGTAGCCCAGCCTCTAACACACAAAGGCTCAGAGGTCATAAATTGTCTCTGTAATATGTATTTCATTCAGGTTTATCCCTTATTGATCACCCACACTTCAGTTAGTAAATCAGGAACCTATTGATTACTCACTGGCTCTGACTGACCCGGTGGTAAAAGTGTCAGTTTCAAGTGGTTGGTGCACTTTACAGGCACCATAAATCTGCATACAGGGAATCTCCAGGTGGTAAGAACTGTGGGAGAAAAAAGAGCAGAAGACTGCATGCAGAGATGATAGTCCTCATTAAGATATGGACAGAAAAGACGACTGAGGTATAATTTATGAAATATACACATTTTTGGTAGATAGTACACTTTTCAATCTAAATTTCTAATCACTAGTTTGCTAGTATAGAGGTGTTGTATCAATAAGATAATAGAATTAGTGAATCCCATTTTAACAGCAGACTCCTACAGACAGCACTGCCATGCAAGTCAAGTCATGGGTATGCAGAGCACCCAACACAGCAGTGGACAGGCTGAACTATAAAATGTGAAAATATCACTGACAAGTTGCAGTGATGAATTAGTTCTCTTCCAAAGATGAATTTTAACAACTCTTCTGAACAGTTAAAAATTACTCTGAAGTAGAATAGAACAGGAAAGGTAGAAAGAAAATGCATATTTGTGCACTGTCACAACACCCTCTGTGAAGAAGTTTGAGACCAGAGCCTTGTGGGATGATAAGAGATCTGGGCCTAAACTGACAAACTAGAATAGCACTTACTCCATCCTTACCAGCTTTCAATCTCTTCTGCTAGACTTCCATACTTTCTTTTATGTTGCATAAACAGTAATGAGAAAATAATTCCCTGGTTTCTTTTGGACTATGGCAGATTGATCACAAGAAAAAAACAAAGCTGCAGTGCTTAATCACAGATGGAATTGCCGGGTGACCAGAGACTAATATGAAAACCTAGTTGACAATGTAGAGAAGACTGAAATTCTAACCTGGGAAGAGAAAAAGGAGAACACACTTGGAGAGACAAAGCAGGACGCAAAGTGCAGCTGTGTTGATGGCTGTAATATATTCAACTCACACCGCAGTCCCTCACTGCCAGGAGTTAGTAAATGAAAAATTACATATGTATAGGAAAAATGGCTTTATATGAAAAGTCTATAGTGTCTTTTTGACAGTGATAATATTTTTTGTAATCACAAGCTAAAGGAATTATTCAGGAAATATGGATTTATCTCTTGTTTTTAACATAGTACTTATAGTACCCAATTCTGCATGCAGGTCACGCTGGAGAAAAAACAGGCTTTGCTATGCAGAAAGCTGAAATTCATGGTAGTCTCTAATGTGTCTGAAGTAATGCTTCCTTTCTTTTCTTTTCCACATATTTATTCTATGACTTTATTTATATTTTTTTTTAATTAAAGGTAGCTGCATACACAGGACTCCTATCTCACTTCTACAATTCAAAGTCACCATGTGCTGGAACTTGCCACTATTTTACATCTACCACCGGATTTCAACAGAAAATTAGGACTGGCAATACAGTCTGTGGAGACAATACAGAGCACAAGCAGACACCAGACCACAAAAAACTTTACCGAACACCATCAGGCCCCTGAAACCTTCACTATCTGTGAAGTCTAAATTGTAGTGTGATGTCCACTCAAAGTCCAGAGTAAAAACCACCTTGATCTCACAAAGGAAGGCCTCTGAAAAGGCCCTACCAAACTAAATGTGGCAGTCTGTGGTCTTCTTGGAGGCAGAAGGCACATTGCACACTTGTGGGTGTATGCCTCTTGCTTCAATCTCACATCATTCAGTTTGTCTGCTTATACTCTTTGTTCTAACCCAATCCTTAGATGAAGCAAAGCATGTGGACTTTGTAGTAAAGGTGGGAGGCAGACATTAGTCTACTATTACACAAACAAGGGATGTTATCCTCATGTT